GCCACAAACATGTGTAAGTAGGTCACACACATCGTAATTGGGTCACCGGTTGTGTAAGTAGGCCACAGACATTGTAATTAGGTCATGGACATGTGAAAGTAGGTCACAGACATGTGGAAGTAGGTCACAGACATTGTAAGTAGGTCACAGGCATGTGTAAATAGGTCACAGGCATGTGTAATTTGGTCTCGAACATATGTAATTAGGTAACAGACATGTGAAGATGTCATTTAAAGTAGGAAAAATAAATATTTGGAAAAAATGAAGAAATTATTAAAAAACATGACCAAAAATTGCAAAATATTTTTTTTTAACCCATTTTTAAATGGCTTCTAAACATAGTTGATTTAATCAGGCGCTCAAAACTTTGAAGGAAATGGATGTAGGTTTCAAAAATGGAGGGGGAAAATGCATGGTTAAACTGGATAAAAATCTCATCTCATCTCATCTCATCTCATCTCATCTCATCTCATCTCATCTCATCTCATCTCATCTCATCTCATCTTGCCTTCCAGGTGTGGTCACTGTAAGCGACTTGCCCCCACCTGGGATGAGCTGGCCAAACACTTTGCCGACGAGGAGGTGGCTATTGCCAAAGTGGACTGCACCCAGCACAAGTCTGTCTGTGATGATTACCAGGTATGTGGTATGTGGTGGGCGGGAGGGAGGTGTGGGTTGGTTGGGGGGGGGTCAACTGTCACTCAACAACACCCCCCCTCCCCACCCCTCTCTCTCTGTGGGTGGTTGGCGAGTAATCTGGTGTGGTTTACTCCTTCTTTCCTATCAAACATCTGTCATCCTGGTCTCTCCTCCTTCTTTTGTGTTTGTTACTCTCTTGTAACACCTCTAATCTTTAGCACTTATATAACCTTATTGTGTTGCAAGTGCTGTAAAACTCTTACTAAAAGTAAAACTCTCTCTCTCTCTCTCTTTCTGTGTCTCTTTCTCTCTCTCTCCCTGTCTCTCTTGCTCTTTGTGTCTCTCTTTCCCTCTCTCTGTCTGACTCTCTTTCTCTGTCTGTCTCTCTCCCTCGCCATCTCTCTCTCTCTCTCTCTCTCTCTCTCGCCTATTATCCTGTTTTATCATGTTTCTGGGGATCATCTCGCTGCCCTGTTTTAACCCCTGTTGCAAGGGTTAATTTTGTTAAGCTTCTGTTTGCTTGTCTCAGGTGCTGTAACACCACTCTTACTGAAGAAATTATGATAAAGGACCAATTTTGTAACAACCAAATGTAAGGTTTATCGCTGGTGCTGTAACAGCACTCTTATTGAGTACTTACTTACTTTTCCTTTTTCCTTCCTCTGGTATCCTTAAGATGTCGAGGGGAGGTGCAGGTCTCGGTCCTGTGCTAGGTGTGTAGCGTCTGTGATAGATAATGTTATGTTGTTCCAGGACCTTTTTAACCCCATCCAGCCAAGCTCTCTCTGAATGAATGATGATAATTTATAAAGGACTAATTTCCTAATAAACGAAATGATTGGTTTATCCCAGGTGCGAGGTTACCCGACCTTGAAAATGTTCCGTGACGGCGAAGTGGTCAACGACTACCGTGGCCCCCGCGCCCTCGAGGACCTGAGTGGCTTCGTGAAGAAATACCTAGAGGAGAACCACGATGAGCTCTGATTGGCTGAGAGGAGATGTTTGCGAAAAGATTTATATGATTGATATTTTTTTGTAGTTTGAAAGCGTTCGTTGTTTGGGAGATTGAAAATTTTTCTTTTTTTTTCGGTGCTTGGTGTGTAGTTTTGTTAGCGTAGCTGCAGCGGTTGAGTGTGAAATGATTGGTGTCTTTGATGCGGTAATTGTAATTTGATGCAGTAAGAGATTTTGCTGTTGATGTGTGGCATTACTTGCTTTCTAAGATTTTTCACGATGATGATTGTATTGATGATTGTCCTGTTGATTTGATGATTGTCTAATTAGATTGGTGATTGTCTTGTTGATTTGATGATTGTCTAATTAGATTGATGATTGTCCTGTTGATTTGAGGATTGTCGAACTGGATTGATGATTGTCCTGTTGATTTGAGGATTGTCGAACTGGATTGATGATTGTCAGATTACAAAGATGACTGCAGTGTGCTTTGTGTGTTTGATTGTTTGGTCAGTTTCATGACGTACACAATGCTGCCATCATTCACCACTGACGAGGCAAGGTCTTTTTTTTTGTAAAAAGAAAAAAAAGAAGTATTTAGAGTAGTTTGATGAGCTAGCTTTGTTGTTTGATATCTGTGGGCATTTGTCGGTGGAGGGATCACTGGCTTTGTAAGTGCATTCTGTGTGTGTGAGCGAGTGTGTGTGTGTATGTGAATATGTGTGTGAGTGTGTGTAATTGTGTGCGCGAGCGAGTCTGTATGTGTGTGTGTGTGTGCTTGTGTGTCTGTGAATGCTTGATTGTTGCGTATGCGTAAGAGGGTATATATATGTGTGTGTGTGTGTGTGTGTGTGTGGGCGTATGTGCACATGAGAAAGCGAACGAGTGCCATCGACTGTTGTTTCGCATGCTGTTTCAACAACATGTCTCTGGATTTGAAGCAGGTGGTGCACTTTTTGTAAAGACATATTTGCTAATTTCTCAACAATGTTGGTAATGCGTCTCCTTTCAATAAAACTCCACCTTGCCTTTTGATAAAGTTTGTTGTATGGTATTAACCTCATCACTTCCAGACATTAGACTGGTTTTGAGCTTTTTACAGCTGGGTTTTATTATTTTTTTTGCTTTGTTTTTTGTTAAATTTTTTGATTAAATGAAATCATGTTGTTTTTTATTTTGTTTTTGTTTATTTTTTAAAATATTAAATGAAATTAATAGTGACTAGGTGGTTATTGAATGTCTGTTTGTCTGTATTTTGTGGCTGGGGTAATGTTTTTGAGTGGGAGTTTGGGAGCATTTGAGACGAGTGGGTCTTGAGCCAGTGGCTGTTTCTTCACTTTTTGTTCTTGTTAGTGCTTCTTCTTCCTGGTTTGTTGACTACTTCAAAGATATATATATATAATTGTTGTTAGTGCTTCTTCTTCCTGGTTTGTTGACTACTTCAAAGATATATATATATATATAATTGTTGTTAGTGCTTCTTCTTCCTGGTTTGTTGACTACTTCAAAGATATATATATATATATAATTGTTGTTAGTGCTTCTTCTTCCTGGTTTGTTGACTACTTCAAAGATTATATATATAATTGTTGTTAGTGCTTCTTCTTCCTGGTTTGTTGACTACTTCAAAGATATATATATATATATATATATATATAATTGTTGTTATTCTTGTACAGCATAATAAAACTACACATTCACATGCCTTTTGCACGTAATACACGAGAGATAGATTGATAAATGAGTGAGTCGTGAGTGAAAGGAAATTTGAGTAAATTTGTCTCACTTTTACCGTAAGTAGATTGCAATGTGCAGACTCTCATGAACAGTTTGTGAAGGGGATTAAATGAAACTTTGTATGAAGTATTTTCTTGAAATTCTTTCTTGTTTCTGAACTCAAACTAAGTTTGAAGTAGGTTGCTGTCATTTGCTTCAATGTGGGAAAGTTCATTGGTACATAACTTATATTATATGTGAAATGTAGTCTATAGGTAGGATCTATCAAAAGCTGTGCTTCTTTTCTGTGTTCACAATCTTTCATCCTTTTTAAAAATTTCACAGAATTTTGATTACTCCTGACAAAGTCGTATTTAAAAAAAAAATCTCCCAAAGTCTACCTCTTCTGTCTTATTCCTCTCTGTGGTGGAATCATTCACTCTGTGACCTCTGTGAACTTTGAGGAGGTTGAAATGTTTTTGGTGCTTCGTGTCTGAAAACAACTAGTTTCATCGCGTGTTGTAGAGAATATTATGTCTCTGACATTAAATGTGTCACAACGCGGTGGAATCAGGCGCTTGTCCATTTTTGGGCATTTGAAGTTAATGGTATTATCTTAAAGCTTGTTCATTTGTCTCACCCACGATGAAAAAAATACCCGTCTGTCTGGAATAGAAGCGGAGATATTTCCGATTGAAGAAGGTGGGGTCACCTGGTTTCAGAGGTAAAGTTATCAAGAAAATAACCGCCAAAGTTTAGTAACTTCAATAGCTGGAAAGTCCTTAGGAAATGAAAATTACATTTTTTGTACCTTAAATCAACCTTTTTAAAAGTAAAATCCAACTCAAAAATGTGTTTTTGGATAAAAATAAAAGGTGTTGAGCCAAAAAAAAAAAAAAAAAAAAATCCATAAAAATTCCCAAACTTGTGGGAAAATGCCTGTTTCTTCAATTTCAATATTTTGATGAGCGCCTGATTTCACCACGATGCTTCACAAATTGTGAGTGTGAATTGTTGGTTCAGTCATTTGCATTGTGAGTGTGAGCCCCTGGTACAGCCATTGGGGTAGGTAGTGAGTACGAATTGCTGATTCAGCCATTGAGGTAGTGAGTACGAATTGCTGATTCAGCCATTGAGGTAGTGAGTACGAATTGCTGATTCAGCCATTGAGGTAGTGAGTACGAATTGCTGATTCAGCCGTTGAGGCAGTGAGTACCGATTGCTGGTCCATTGGTTGGCATAGTGAGTGTCATGTCTGCCTATTGTATGTGTTTCCACAAAAAGCAATGTTCTGGGGAACGGGGCCTTCTGTCCCTTCCTTTAAGCAAGTGCCTACTCATTGAGTACGATGCAATCATTGACCAATTGGTGTGCCGGCCTGTTGTTGTTGTTGTTGTTGTTGTTATAGTTGTTGTTGCTGTTGTTGCTGCTGCTGCTGTTGTTGCTGCTGCTGTTGTTGTTGGACCCCCCCCCCCCCCTCAACCGTAGCAGGACCGATCAGTGTGGAGAGTTTGGGACAGCCCACTCAACCCACCCACCCCATGGTTTGTTTTATCAAGAGTTTTACGCCGTTTGTGCTGCAACGAAGGCAGGATATTTACGACGTGGGACTTCCTGAGTCAGTCGTATGTTTGGGAAAAAGTTACTTGCTACTCGGTTACTTGGTTGGAGAACAGATGGTGTCAATGTAGGCATCTTTGGGGAATAGAAATCAGGGAATAAATCTTCAGTCATTTCACACTTTGTCATCATATTTTGGGGAAAATTCAGGGAAACATCGCCAATCGGCGAGATGAGGTGGTAAAGTGTTAAGGGTGTCTCTTCAGA